AAATAAGGAATTCATTCCCACATAATTTTTCCTTGATTACTATTACTATTATTATTTTTTTTAATAATATGAAAGATTTTGTCTACATACGTGAGGGCATCATTTACCGCGGAGATGATGCTATCAAAGCGAAAGAAGAAGTAAATGCTAAAAAACTGGCAAACGAGCTGAAATCTTCCCTTGAAAGTATTGCAGCTTCCACTATGGATCCAATCACCCCCAACAATATAATTGAGGATTGTAATGGTACTGAGATTATAAGGTCTCAATTGGTATGTATGTATATAATAAACATATATTATTCCTGATACTAAAGTTAACATTATTTCCATTCAGGGCGATATCCTTGATCCAAGTGAATACGCAGTAGATGTGGGAGATGACGATGATGGAGAAGATGACGATGATGGAGAAGATAAGAACTTCAGTTTTACTGAAACTGATAAGGAGAATGAAATTGGAAAATTGAATGTTAAAAAGGATACCAATATGCTTGCTCGTGCAGCTGTGATTGGAGAACACAATGAAATCGAAAACATCAATATTGCAAGGGACACCAAGGTAGCTGGATGCTTAAGCATAACTGGAGAACACAATGAAATCAAAAACATCAACATTGCAAGGGACACTAAGGCAATTGGATGCTTAAACATAACTGGCGAGCACAATGAAATCGAAAACATCAATATTGCAAGGGACACTAATGCATTTGGATGTTTAAGCATAACTGGAATTCACAATGAAATCGGAAACACAAATATTTCAAGGGACACCAAGACGACTGCATGTGCAAATATAGAGGCAATACACAATGAAGAATCAAATACAAAAGTTACTAGAGACAATGAGGCAACTGCATGCTTAAGGATAACTGGAATGCGCAATACAATTGGGAATTCTACAAAAACAAGGGATAATAAGGCAACCGGATGCTTAGAAGTGACTGGGATCCAAAATAAAATTGGGAACTCATCAGAATCAAGAAACAATAAGGCAACTAGATGCACAAGCATAACTGTAATGAACAACGAACTTTTTAATCGCGAAGACTCAAAAAACAACCAAGAGCATGGTTGCTCAAGCGAAGTTCTAATCAATAATCAATTATGTAATTATAAAAACACTGAAAAGAAGCCTGGTATCTCTACTAGTGTCACTGGAACTGGTGTGAGTGCTTTTAACATGCATGTAGACAAATCATTTGGTCTTGATATAGGTGCTAGTGGTCAAGTTTCCTTTTTGAATGTGAATCTTGGAACTCGTTTACAACTTGGTATAGGATTTGGCTTTGATCTTGGAATACCATTCCTTGGCAGTGGCGGCGGCGGCGGCGGCGGCGGCGGCGGTGGTGGTGGTGGTGACGGTGACGGTAAAGGTGATTCTAATGAAGGCAAAGACAATCGTAGTACACGAAATGGAGATCATTCTGGAGGTGATCATGGAGGTGGTTCTAATGAAGGCAAAGATAATCCTAATACACAAAATGGAGATTATGCTGGGGGTGATCCTAATGGAGACATCAATGATGACAATTCTAATACACAAAATGGAGATTATCCTGGAGGTGATCATAATGAAAACGGCAGAAACAATCCTAATACACAAAATGGAGATAGTTCTGGAGGTTGTTTTAATGAAGACAGCCAAGACAATCCTAATACACAAAATGGAGATTGTTCTGGTGGTGATTATGGTGAAAATGACAGAAACAATTCTAATACGCAAAATGGAGATAGTTCTGGAGGTGGTTTTAATGAAGACAGCCAAGACAATCCTAATACACAAAATGGAGATTGTTCTGGTGGTGGTTATGGTGAAAACAACAGAAACACTCCTAATACACAGAATGGAGATCGTTTTGGGGGTGATCATTGTGAAAGTGACACAAACAATCCTAATGGGCAAAATGGAGATTGTTCTGGTGGTGATTATGGTGAAAACGACAGAAACAATCCTAATACACAAAATGGAGATCGTTTTGGGGGCGATCATTGTGAAAGCGACACAAACAATCCTAATACACCAAATGGAGATTGTGATAGGGGTGATCATGGTGAAGGTAACAGAGATACATCTAATATACAAAATGAGGGCAATTATGGCAATAATGACAACCCTAATACACGAAATGAAGGAGGTTCTGAAAATGAAAGCAGCTCAATTGGAATTTTAAGAGCTGACCATTTAACTGTTATTGATGAAAGTTATTTGGTTTATAGCAATGGAGGATCGTCAAGTATTGCCAATAACATTCGACCATCCTCATTTGGCTTCAATCAAAGCTCTACAGAAAGGGTTCAAAATTTTGTTGGGCTTCATATTGAAGGTAATTTGGTTAATGGTAATGGAGAAATGTCGAGTACTGGGAATCAAGGCACTACAAGTACTTCTGAAGAAAGTTTTTCAGAGGACGCTGAAAAGCACGGTAATAATGATGTTTGCAGCAATGAACAGAATAATATACACTCACATTCATTCTCAAATTCGGCATTTGATAATGGTAATGACACCACTTTTACTGCAAACCGCTCTCTTTACACCGCCAGTAATATCCAAACATCCTCATTTGGCTTCAATCAAAGTTCTAGACAAGGGGTACAAAGTGATCAAAACTTTGCTAGACTTCGAGGTGAAGGTACCGGACTGCATAATCCTACTAGCTTGAGGGAAGGTAGTAAGTTGAAGAGAATGAATTACACAACTGGCAAAAATAAAGACAATTGTTTAATTGTATAGTAAAATGAAATGATTAAATTATGGTAAAGTTAATATGAAAATATAACATCATGATTTAGATAGAAATTTTTTGGTAAAGAAATAAGAAAGGGGAATATTACTAGGATATCTCATGAACATCACATGAATCTTCACTACCAGTAAATTTCCATTCGTAATCCTGGTCATTTGTGAATGGACCAAAACTCTTATTGCTTTCAGTTGAAGCCTCGACAAAGAATGAAAAGTTAAAATTTGTTATATCATCATACACTTGAACACTAAAACCGTTGTGAGCATATGAACCTCCATAAATTCCTTTCTGATCCATCTACCATGATTGCAAGCTGGCCAAATGTACCTGGCCACATTTTGTTATGGACCCAAACTGTATGACCTGTATAGTAAACATAGAGTTGTTAGAACATACAATTAATTTTTTTCCAAAGTGTGATCTTTTAAAAAGTAATTACTTTCAATGAGTGGCACAAGTGTTAGGCCAATCGTTAGATTAAAGATGATGGCAATGATTAGGTTGAATTTCATGATGAGTAATATTTGATTATAAAATTTTTTACTTTTTTTCTTGTTCTCGAGGTATATATATATTGGTTTCTGATTAACAATCCGGATATGAACACTCGGGCAAAATCGGTCCATTCTAAAATTCTTTTATGGGAAAAAATTCCTAACCTTTTTGTTTGTATGGCGTATTAAATGAGAAAGTACATAATTATATGACTTTTTTAAAATAACTCTATTGGCCTTGTTCACTCGCAAGCTCGTGCTCAGATTTATGTAGTCAACTATTTTTTGTTATATTTGACTGATAACGAGTGAAACGAATTGGCAGGGGCAATAGATCCACGTATGGATAAAATATCAAAATTATCGTCATACACTGTACAGTATGTTCAAAAAAAATGACGCCAAGATGTAAATTTATTTTAAAAATTTCCACAAGACAAAAAACGATTGGGTAACTTGTTCGAATGATGATAAATACTTGTATATATGTTTATTACATGGCGTTTGCAACAGGATAATGATCCAAAACACACATCACGTGTTACAAAAACCTTCATTTTTGAAAAAAGAATTTGCATAATAGACTGGCCATCCAACAGTCCTGACCTTAATCCCATTGAAGACATGTGGTATATCATAAAAGATAATGTTGAAAAAAGGACGCCAAGGAATATTGATGAATTGAGAGATTTATGATTGAAGGAAACCGTCAAAAATATTATTATGTCTATGAAACAGAAATGTGAGTTTGTTTTAGAAAAAAAACAGTGGTATAATTTCTTATTGATTTTTTTATTTAATAAAATATTTGATAAGCCTTCAAATGAATCTAATCTTGTTTATCTACCTTGCATAATTGTTGAGATATGTGATTTTTTGTGCGAGCCATTTTTTCGAAACTAACTTTTCTTTATATTCATCGATTTGTTTTTTAATTTCAGTTTTAGATATAGAGATGTATGTGAATTGAAATTATGTGAATTTGAAATATTATGGAGCGGGGTGAAATTCTTGGCTAATTTGAATTCCACATATGTAAATTTGAATCTCATATATGTGAATTGCGAATTCACATAATTTCATTCTCGCGTACAACAGAGACATAGCCTCATTATTCCACAATAAATAAATAAACAAAAAATTTGAATCAAAAAACTATATTAATATATAACTAACATTGCTAAGTCACGAAATAATCGATCATCTATTGGAAAACCAAGATCAGGATCGCCGATATAAATCCAATAACATATTGTATAATAATATAGTAGTTGTAATATATATTCGCACTTACCAGAAATTATTTGTTTGTCTGAGTTCGCCCGTAGAGAGCAGGAAATCACATGTAGTAGTGATATTATACGTGACTTGGATCAACAAATCAGAATACATATATTACATGCTAGGATGGCAAAAATAGACAAGTAAATCTCAGAATAGCGGAGCTAGTGCATTTGGCACATAAAAAAATCTTGACATATGACGACCGAGTCGTAGATTAAAAATAGGGGTAATTCTTAATGACTAGAATGTTTATGTATAATTAACTTGATTTTTTAATATCCTTATCTTACTACTTATCGCTTATATTATATGGGTTGTAGTATCGAAATATAACCAGAAAAAAAATAAAAATAATATACGCGAAGTTATATATAGAGATATGATACCACAGCCATTCTTCCATCTTCCTCGTGTACACAAGGTTAATCTGACCTGATACACTCGATGATACAATGTTGCTGCTAAATTCCAGGTGGGACACGTGGCCCTGGAATGCATCAAGACTGCATCAATCGTCGACGACACTTGATAATCTTCCCAGACCAGAGAAGGCTGCTGCCATGTAAAACATCATATGTAATTATTATCTGAGTTCAAAATGAGTTTATTTTTACCTTGTAGAACAACTTTTATTTAATATACAATGCTTTCTGTTGGTATTTAAATATGAAGCTTGCAAAGCGTTAAACGACGATGATTATCTGGGGTTGAAATATTTTGTTAAATCAGTACAGTTTTCTTATTTTTTTTTCTAAAAATGCATCATGCATAAAGCTCTGAATGGTTCGGTTCGGTTTTTCAGTTTACATTTGATCCAAAAATTCGGACATTCTAAGTTCATTAACTACGCAAAAATATATTCACAAAAAAATTATAATATTTGTAGCTTGGCTTTGGTAAATATGTGTTGCGAAGTAGAGGTGTTGGAAGGGTCCTGTTTCTAAATACATACAGTCTATAATTTTATACCATTATAGCAAAGGCCTATTTCTTACCAAAATTAGAATGGAAACCATGATTGAATTTCATATATAATGCCATTAGATACAGCCGGTTATAGTTAGTTATGAATTATTTTATTTTACCGTTACATATTCATATATAGTAGCAATACAAATCCTTATTCGCTTCATTCTAATTACTTGTTTTATTCGTTTTATTCAACTAATACTAAACTTTCAATGTAATTTGAACACAACAAATAAAATAATTCAAATAGAAACCTTAACAACATTCTATTTTTTTCTATTCATATATAAAATTCATTGTCTCCGTCAACTTTTTAAACACATGCAAATTCTTATTGTTTTAAGTCCATGCTTCCAGAAAAATTCGTTCAGCCGGGACACTGGCTGCCATAATAAGTTTAAATAAGCAGAGTGCAAAAATCAGAATACCAGGGACTGTCAAGTAGTTTGGAGCTTTATCATTAATTTTACTCGTCATTTAATTAATTAATTCCAATTCACTACATTTATTTTTTAGGAAAATAATAGAAATGTTCTTTAAAATTTCTTGATTTTAAATGTTTTAATAAGATTCTATTCTTTAGCCATATTTCAAGTACTAAAAATTGACAAATTTTTCCTTTTAATAATTAATTATTGACTCATCATCATTATTAATACTACCATCTTTATTTTTTGAACTTTACATAGAAAAAATATCGTTAGGTAAATATATAGTAAGATAATAAATAATTAATAATTAATAATTCTGCTATCCATTAATTATTTGAAAAATTTCTAATTCATCAAACTTACTACCATGTACAATATTGATATTAGCATAACTTGATGCTCCAATATAAATAATACCATTTGTTTGAAACCAAATATCATGATTACCTCTACCAAAAATTGGCAAATGAGTAGGATGACAATAAAATTCATATTGATCCACGTTATTAATAACATAACTAAATTTTGCAGTATTTATATCATTTCTATTACTTATATTAAATATAAAACTTTCAGTTGTATTCTTTAATTCACTATTTCCATTCCAATTAAGTGGGTTATAACCACCAACTATTTGCTCCGAATTTTGTATTTTGCCAACTACAAGAGTTTTGTTTATATTATCACATTTTTGATGAAATGTAGCAGCATTTAAACCATCTCTACTACTACGATATAAAAGTTTGAATTCATATTTGACTTCCCTGAATGAACTATATGGTGGGCTTTTTCTATCAATCCAACTTGCAAAAAGCAAGGTTAAGTTTTGATTGATTGTTAATGATTCAAATGTTGGTTTCAAATTTGAAATTCTTGATGGCAATAAATTTAATGTTTGTTGTCTATCAGGAAATAAATAAGATTGTGAAATGGATCTCCACAAAGTCCTAGGAAAAAGCATGTCATATGGTTCAATTTTATCAAAAAAATCCTCTTTAGAGATATCCTGAAATCTTATTAGAGAAAGGAATTCTTTCAATGTGTTACCTAAATCAACAAAATTTTGTAATGGCCAATCTTCAACATTGGTATTATTGATTTCAGGATGTTTTGCTAATCCCCATTTAAGAATGCTTTCCCAAATAACTATCTCATCAACAGAAAAATCTTCTCTTGTGAGAATTTCCAACAGAGTTGGTTTTTCTAATGATTCAAATTCATTTGATTCAAATAATTTTTCACTATATTTACAAAACTTTTCTAAATAAATATTTTTCAATTCCTTAAAATTTTCA